TATTTCTGAAACTAGTCTACATTTTCTTGGTTTTTCGCTTGAATTTCAAGATTTATGCGATCTTTAATTTTTTTCGCGTTTCTAACGCTATCCAGACTTACTTTATTTGATTTTGTAATGGAATGTTATTTGAAGAATGAGTGTTTCACAAAAGGAAATGAGTGTGGAGTGTGAGGGAGAAAGGAATAGGCTGTAAAATGCCATAAAACAATACTGGCATATTGTAACCTTTTGTAAAATACATTTTGTCCACTTATCTTACAATAAATAATTGATTTTTTGATAAATAATTTATTTTTCCTGATGTTGAAGTCTTTTCCTTGATTTCTGTGGTGGCCTGAAAGTTCAATCTGTAATTAACACAAAAAGAACATTAATTTTTAAATTTTCAATAAAAGTTATAAACAATTTCTAACTAATCTATTGTCTGCAATTGTTAATTCAATATGAAATTTGTAAATTGAGTTATTTTATTAAGTTAAACCATGCAACAAATTTATTTAATACTACCAATAATTGTGAACTACCATCTAAATTATTACTTAACAAGAAATACTAATTATTCTTTAATTAAAGTATTTCAAAATAAACGAGAAACTTTATTTTACTCTACATTATTAGTAATGTTGAAGCAATTAAAAATGTACTGTAAGTATCAATTTTAAACATAAAATTATGCACTAATTTATAATAACAGTTATTAAAAGCGAAAAATTCAAAGAACTTCTATTTTAAAAACCAACTAACCTGATAATACTTCATTCCTGACGATGCTCTCGACGATAGTCTCGATCCTTCCGCTTTGAACGCCGATGGTAGGACTGAGCAGAACAATCCCTCTAGTCTTTCTTAGAACCCTCAAATTAAACTCTTCGAATCAAAAACATTGTGATTTCTAATGTTCCTCCCGTTGAAATACCATTCGATTTAAAGTATGCAGCCTGCGACAATATTTTCAAGATTCGCTAACAATTATTTGGAATTGCTGTTAAGGCATTCCTTACTAGTTTTGAGAATTATTGATGATAAAAAAGGGCAGTGAAATTATATGAGTAAGAACATAAATAGCAAATACTCAATGTCCTCAATAATGTACAATTTGCTAATGTAAAAATTACTGTATGTGGATTTAATTATATACAAAGTCCTATGTATATTGTGGGAAGTATTTCTTATGTACACTATAATATTATGAATGTATTTGTTGCTTTTTAATATTATTAACATTATACCTCATACTATCACAATCATTAATAAAATTTGAAGTAAAAATACAGTTAACTGAGTTTGTCTGATTTTACATTATCTTTATAATAGACTAAAGCACGATCAATTATTGATACATTTTCATTTTTTGAATTAATATTATTTTGATTTTCATTAACATGAACATTTTTCACTTGTTGATTTATTTCTTTTACTACTGGCTTCACAATCAATTTATGCTTTGTGTGTTTGGCTAATTCTTCAACAGCTTCATATAGATATTGGATTTGATTTTCTTGTTGAGATGTAATTCTGTTTAAATTTTCAATTTCATTTGTAAATGTTTGTATTTGTTGAAGACGTGCTTCTTCTTTTTTTGCTTCTTTTGCTACTTGGCGGTTATACTCCAATATTAAACAACCACCAGCAACGCTAAAGATGATAACCTCACCCATCAAATTAGCTCCCAATTCTATGGCCATTGTTTCATTCAACTTTGCAACTTTTGTGGGCTTACCAAGATTCATTACATACATTTTACCTTTTACTTCTGCCCAATGATAAACTGTAATTAAATTATAAATATATAAAATACTGTTATCTAGTTATGAAAAGTATTTTCATATAGCTAATATTAATGATGACATCAATAATGATTACATCATAATCAAATTGAATATAATTTTAAATAATTGCCTTTAACAAAAATTTATTTTACTTACATTGCGCCGGCGGTATAATAAAGTACGTTCTAAACACAGGATGATTCTTTGCTTGGTTAACAATAAACTTTGCTAAAGGTTTACTAATTTGTTTAACAAATAAAACTCCCAATTTGAGAGCCGGAAAAACACCCACTACCATTATTTTCTAATTTTATTTTTATTTATACAATTAAATTTGAAAATCACACCTCGTATCTAAAATCATATGTAAAAATCATAGGCATGAGCAAGTATTATACATATCTTAAACACGTTTTAAGTGTAGCTGAAATTACTTCAGAGTATAGCAGACGGCCATACTGACGTGATTCTAGAACAACGTGTAGTATATGGAAGTTACATTTCTATATTACTTATAGGTTAAGAAAAATTTATATATGTTTTCAGGCTTATAAATAGTTTTTTATTTTTAAATATTTATATTGACGTACAAAAATATATATAAAATACTTTTTAAGTATCAGGTACATATATTCATTTACGAATTAGCATTAATTAATTTCATGCGTACTGCACCTTCTTGTTAAAAAGTGGCTATGTTTATACTTTTGACATATATATGTCGTTGAAATAAAAAATTAAGAATAAAACGATGTGGATAATCAAACTTATTATATTGAAATGATAATACATTAAAAGTACATTTTTTCTTATATCATACTTTCAAAATTTTTAGTTTGTATAATCTTTTCAAATTATGAGTAGATTTACTTTATCATTTTTATGTCAATTTGTACACTATGTAAAAATTAATTGAATAAGAAAGGGGTAAAATATAAAATAACAAGAACACAGTATTAATTTGTGTATATCAAATCATGAACTTCATGTTAATTATATAGGTTATGTGATTACTAAAAAAAAGTGAATATTTGGAAAATTCTTAGTACAATATGTTTGTTGAAATTGCATTTATTAATTGAAACAATGTACAATAAGAAATTTAATATAGTGAATAACAACTATTTGTTTATAATATGGGGTCTAACAATGCATTTAATATTATTATGGGGTGTACTTGATGTGAATTTTCATTCTCCTATTATACAAAAACTACCAAATGTACCAATTTTAAAAAATGCACCAGCAAAAAGAATGGTTCTATTTGTAGCAGATGGCTTAAGATTTAGAACCTTCATTGAAACTCCTCCAACATTTCTAAGGTATTATAAATCATTTTTAAAATGATATTTGAAACTTGATACATTTTACATCTAAAATTATATAATTTTGGTTTTAGACATGTAATGAAAAATAAAGGTATTTGGGGTATATCTCATACTCGAATGCCAACAGAATCTAGACCAGGAATTGTTGCAATTTGTGCAGGATTATATGAAGATCCTAGTGCTATTTTTAAGGGATGGAAAGAAAATCCTGTTGATTTTGATTCTATCTTTAATCAAAGTCATTTTTCATGGGCATGGGGAAGCCCTGATATTATACCTATGTTCACAAAAGGTATTACAAATTCAGATAAAATGTTATGTAATTAAATTAAATTTATATTTCAAAAAATAGGTGCAATGGCAAATATACATGGTGACAGCTATCCCCCTGAGTGGCAGAATTTTGATATTATGCATGGTCAAATTTGGCGTTTAGATTCTTGGGTATTTGACAAATATATTGATTGGCTTAGAGAAGAAGCTTACAAATTTAAGAACACTGATCGTGTTATTTTATTTCTTCATCTCCTTGGTTGTGATACTACAGGACATACAGCAAAGCCTTATTCTAGGTATTGAAAATTAAGTAATTCATATTTTTGACATAAAAATTAAATTATATGTTTAATAAGGTTATAATTTCATTAGCTTTAAATTAAATTTGAATGCAGAGAATATGTTGATAACATGAATTATGTTGATCGAAAAATAGAAGAGGTTGTACAAATGACAGAGAATATTTTTGAAGATAATGGTACGGCGTACATTTTCACAGCTGATCATGGAATGACTGACTGGGGATCACATGGAAGTGGTTCTACAGATGAAACAGAAACTCCATTAATTGTTTGGGGTGCAGGAGTTAATGTATTTAATATTCTTCAAAATATAGAACAGGTTGACATTACCCCACTTATTTCATCTTTAATTGGTGCTCCAATTCCTGTTAATAATGAAGTATGTATAAGAATAATATTAATTGTAATATTTCTTAATCATTTATGTATCAACATGCACAATTTTTCAGGGTGTTTTACCATGGCAATATTTAAATGTTACTAATCTTAAATATATAAATTATGCTTTATTAAATAACTTAAAACAGTTAACATACCAAGTAAAAGCAAATCGTAAAATGAATTGTGAGAACAATGGATTTGCAGATTGGAGAGAAGTAGAATTAGATATGAAAATTTCTACATTGGATAAATATCTTCAAACAGAAGATTCAAACGAAACATTGAAAGAAATAGTTGATACAATTAAACTAGCTAAACAGTCTTTATTATATTTTCGACAATACCAAAGAACACGATTTTTAATATACTTGTCCATAATGTGGCTAGGATGGATAATATTATTATTTTTTAAAATAAGTGGAGCTAAACGACCTATTGTTCGTTCTTTTACTTTATTAATAATAGACATTGTCTTTATAATCCTGTTAATTATGATATTTATTGAGTATAAAGGTACAATATTTAATGATTATTTCTAATTATTCGAAAAAGTATCACTTCTAATTTTAAATGAAATAGTTTCAGATTGTGATAATTGGAGATTACCCTGTTATGCATATTTAGCTATAATCTCTTTTTGGTTAGCTATTCGAAGTGCAATTATGTACTCGATAAAATTAAAAGTGTATAATAATAAATATTATTGGGCAATGATTATAGAAACGATAATTTTATTGATAACAATTTTTATTGGATTAACATATAGGTCTGCCCTTAGCATAGGGATGTTATGCACTACTCTTGCTCATAAGATGGTGTTAAAAGATTCTCCAAGTTTGTTTCTTTGGACAGCTTTATCTTTAGCTGTTTTTCCATTACTACCTGTTGTAGAACCATATCCTCGAATTTATATTGTGTAAGTTCAAATTGTTATTAAATCATAATACTTTTGTAATTAAATATAATTTAAATATTCGTTTTCAGACTTCTCAGTGTATGTGCCGTAACTGCAATAGTTATATTAAAAATGCAATCGAAGTATAGAAAAATAGTAGAAATTTTTCGGCTAATAATTACTGGTTTAACGTATTTAGAATTTATAGATGGTCGAAATTGGATATCGTGGGTGATTTTATTAACAACACCATTATTTATTTTCACTTATCCTACACAATTAAAGAAAAGAATGCAAGGAATTATATTGGGCCTTTTCTGTCCACTTGTTCTATTATCAGCATCTTATGAACCTTTCTTTTTTATAATTCTTGCATTACATTTATCTTGTTGGCCGCAATGGAATATGCTTTTTACTCAAAGATATCAAAATACCAAAAATCTTTTAACAATGGAAGAATTACTCAAAGCAGCAATTTTTGTATCCTTTTGCGAGAAAATATTTAAATTCAACTCAAGTTATTAAGCAATTACGATTAATATCCTGAACAATTTATTATAGATGTTATATACATTGTTGTGTTTCTTTGGAACCGGAAATATGGCAAGTATCAGTTCGTTTGATCCTTCTTGGACTCGTCATTTCGTAACGGTTTTCTCTCCATTTACAATGCTCTTATTAATACTTTTAAAAATTAGCATACCTTTAATACTAATTGGATGCACAAGTCACACGCTTGGATCTTCAAGCATTTTTTTAGGGGTGCTTTTACTAGGAGACTGCCTATCATTACCACTTATGTACTGTGTTATTCCTCAAGGAAGTTGGTTGGACATTGGTAGTGCTATAAGTAGATTCACAATCGCAATTTGTCTTCCATGCCTTATAGTATTATTGCATTATTTGTCATTTCCTCTTGTAACATTTTTCCCAAACAGATTTAAGTTCCACATTAATTTAAGAAAAAAACATATTGTATAAAAAATATAGATCGTGTAAATAAAGTTGAATAACTTATTTTTAATAAAGTAATGAAGTAAGTATAATTGGTTTTTATTTGATGTAATAAAAAGTTGATACATTGTTACTATCTGTTTTAGAAACTATTGTATTTCCAATGTGTTCACTTTAAAAATTCCATATATTAGAATATAAAACACGAAATTTAATATATTTTTAAATTAGGAAATTTGAGATAGTACTTAATTTCAATGATTCATAATTCAAGACGTACTAGATACACGATATTGATTTAATAATATAACTTCTATATTTTTCAAATAAGTAATTCTTGTTCTTATAATGTGTGAGTTTATTCAACTTAAAATTTAAATTCTTTATATTTCTTTGAAGCTTTTGAATCTTGACTTTGTTGGCGTTTACGTTTGCTCTGTAAAAATGAACAAAATTAGTTTAATGTATTTTTTAATTAATATGTTAAATACTTAATAATACACTTACCTTTTGCCGTTGCACATGATCCTGAAGCATATCGGATAGGTCTTCCCTTCTTAAATGAGCTTGGCGTGATCTCATTGTTTCTTCGTACCGCGATGCCATTGCTTCAGAGTCTAAATCTAATTCGCTTGGATCTAATGCTAATTCAACAGCTCCATCTTTCTCTGTTCTTCCGTCAGATGTTGTTCCGCTCACTCCTCGGCGGGCAGCAATTACAGATGGTGGAGCTTGTCCTCCTGCTGCACCAGTCATATCATATACATGTGTACTACCCATCATGCTTGCTCCAAGACCTTCTGTTCGTCTTTCTTGCAAAACTGTATACAAAGCAGGAGTATCTCCTCCCTCCATTTCACTTTCAATTTTCTTTTTCCTTAATTCTATTGTTTCTGGCGTTTCCAATCCTGCAGGAATTGATGTAATTCCACTAGGTGTTATTAAGCCTTCTGCACCAGGTGTAACCAAACCACTTGCATCTCCATCTCCATCTTTTCCTTCTCCTTCACCTTCTCCACCTTCCTCTGCATCTTCATCTTCATCTTCATCTCCAGAAGATTCTGATTCAGGTTCACCCCACATACCTCTATCAATTTCTTCATCCATATTATCCCCACCTGGAGTACGTGATATGCCAAATACATCTCCGTATAAAGGTCTTCCTGTTTCATCCACAGGAGGTTTTCCCCAACCTCCTGCATGATAACCAAATGCACATCCTTCTGGAATAGGTGCATTCAACCCAGGTATTTTTAAATTAGGGTAACTTGGAGGTGGTCCATAACGTTGCATAGCAATTAACCATGGAGGTGGTACTTTATGACAATTAGGTCCTACTGGCATACCAAGTGCAGTACGTAGTTCATCAGACAATTCTCCAGGTTTCTTTTCCTTTAACCGTGTTTCAAATTCTTTACCCTCATAATACAAATCACCATGAATAGTCATACGAGGTTTAGTTTGCCACTTGAAAAATGCATCATGTAATTTCTGATAATCAATGTCTATTTTCCCAAGTTTAGGTCTTGCCCTTTCTCGCATTTTAGCTTTTAATGTGCGCGTATCGTCTCGTTCTTGGAGGCTTGCCCTCATTTCTGTAATACCTGTACGTTTTATAAAATCTGGTAAATCGAAAGGAGGCTTTTCTATACCACGTTTGCCCTGTAAATATTTCCTTTTAAAGCACCAATGCCTTGGTACAGGTACTGTATTACGGTGAGCTTTTAATTGTACAAGGAGTTTTGGATCTCTAGCTGTAACATCATGCATTTCCACAACATCTGGACGTCCTACAAGCTGTTTTAATTCTGCAACACTCAAACGTGTTAGTCTTTTGAGTTTTCTTTTGGAAAGACGTGGAGCCCCATTTTCTCCAGTCCCTTGCTGTTGTTGTTGTTGATTTGCATCATCATCAAAATCATCCAATGGTGGTATTTTACTAGGTACTGTTCCTGTTGTTTGTAATGTTGTTACTGGTGGATACTGCCCTATTGGTTCTCCCTTCTCTGCCTCAGTAGGTTTAGGTTCAGGTTCTGTTAATTTAAATGCTTCAAAAATTCTAGCAAATTGACGATACATTGGTTCCAAATCATTAACACTTGGAATTTCTTGAATATATTCAATTTCTGGTAAGTCTTCCTTTGATTTGGAGTTTTCTACATTGTCCTTCTTATTCTCTGCTTCTTTTCCTGCATTGTGCTTCTTTCTCTTTTTCTTTTTCTTCTTCTTTATTTTATTCAATTTCATATCTGAATCCTCTGTTGTTGTTTCAGATTCAAGTATAACATCGTCCAATTGAGAAATATCTTCTCCTGCAGTTTCATGATTAGGTGATTTTCTTAAAGAAACTATGTCATTAGGATCTCCTCCTACTTCCTTAGCTCTTTCTGTTTTGAAAGCTAGTGCTTGTTCTAATGCTGCTGGTAATTTAACAGAATCATTGTCTGCATCACGACCTGTGTCATCTGATGAATTCTGATTTTGTAATTCACTTGGTGGACTTACTTTTAAACTTAGTAAGCTGGGTAATGTCTTAGGGGGATCTATTCCGGGTACACCATGATTACTATTTGGAGGCATACTCATTAAAGATGGCATTTGATGAGCCATTTGTTGAGTCTATATTTAAAAATTATGAATTAGAGTTATTGGAAAGAATATGCAATAAGCCAAAATTTATACATATAAAATTATAATAAATATATAAGTTAATACTACAGGAATTAATATGTAAATAAGATATTCTTTCTTCATATAAAAACAAAGCTAACCTCATTTCCTGCCATATTCTCCATGTGTGACGTCACTGGACGTTTGGCTACGGGCCAGCCACCTGGCGGTCGTCGACGCCCTTGCGGTTGTTAGGTGGCTGCTAGGTGGCTACGGTGAGCGCAACGCTCTCGTAGGTCCGATCGCTGCCGAAAGAAATATATATTCCAACTCGAGGATAGTTAGAGGCGTTATGAATAAAGTAAGACTATTTTACGTGTGTTTATGATTCTCCCGTCGTAATTGAAACGAGAAACGCCTTTCGTATATTTTTATTTTAGCGGACAATGCTTTCAATGTTCCGAGTAGTATTAGACAAACGTTGTGCGATGATACACCAAACATGAGGCAAAAGATATCTCTCACTTACGTTCATACGGAGTGTGATAAAGTATATAACCATCTTGTAATGTTAGATTAGTTACGGGAAGTCGGTTGGGGCGCCGTTGGTCTGCCGTCACATCATGTTATTGTTTTCGTTGGTGTTTATATATTACAGACGATTATCGTTTAAAAAGTTTTATGTATTTGCACCTTCAGTACAAAATCCTTTAATAGGAGAAAATTTATTTACACACACAAATGATGCACTGGTGTATATAACATACATAAAAGAGTTATTTGCCGAAAGCATCATAGAAAACGTAAAACACAAATATATTCAAGAGTATGGTTCTTGCTGACGAAAGATTCCAGTCACTTCATTAATCAATTCAAAAATATCGATTATTGAAGATAATAAATTTTAAATATAAAATAAAAATAATATAAAATATTGAAAATAAATTTTTAATTGAAA